TAACCAGTAATTGAGTTTATTACAAAGAGGAGACACCTATGAAATCATACACAAGGATTGCCAAACGAATATTTTGTTGACACTGGATTTTTACGCTACCTGAATATTACGAGAAGGAATTGACTAGGACCGCTCGGAAACGCTACAATTGAAATCGAAAAAAAAAAAATTTCTGTTGATAAATGTATTTCATCAAATAGTTTGATCATTTTCAACTACTATTTCTTGTCAGCGGCGATAATTTTCCATTGATGATTTTTCTCTCGGAGAAGTGATAAGGTCCAAATACTATATGGTCTGGGTGATGAGGTCCAAACACTATTTGGTCTGGGTAAGTGCAATGGATAGTTGATAAAATCAACTCCCAAAAATGAGATCAAATTGGTCGGAAGGAGTATATAAACTAGAGCCGAGCTCGTTGCAATGCAACGAATAGGTCTTCCGTCGGAGCTCCGGACAGAACATAGCGACCTTGAGTCAAGGTCATGCAACATTTTAAGGTTATAAACAATCCTGTAAGGGGCATCAACTTGCAATGTTTCAACAGTAGAAAGACAGTAAAAGAATGTAAAATTCTGTCAGTGAACTTGAACTTGTCCAAATAACCTTGCGTCAAGCCATGACACATTCTGCAGCTGGTTAAGAGCAAACACCATCTGTATGTCCCGACATAAAAAAATTCACAGTCATGTATTCTTTCAGACTATTCATCCAAAACATCATATTCTAAGTGACCTCGAATTTAAGTTAAGGCCATTACACGCTCTGGATGATATATTTATCATCTTTTCAGTGAAATGCAAATGCATGCAATTTTTTTTATTACAAAATTATAGACCTTTTTATTTGTTTGTTTGTATGTTGTTTAACGTCCCTCTCGAGAATTTTTCAATCATATGGAGACGCCACCATTTCCCGATGAAGATCTGCAAATTTTGACCTATACTCGGCACTTACGGCCATTGAGCAGTGAGGGATCTTTTTCGTGCCAGCACCTACTGCCAGACGGGTTCAGTTTATACGGTCTCATCCAAAGGATCGGTCTCTGCGTCCCACAGTGGGATTCGAACCTGCGATGTTAAGATCCACGACTCTAGAGCAGACACTCTTACCACTGCGCAACGTGGGCGACTAGACCTTTTTGAATTTTACACTTATTATATCAGTAACCTTGAACTTGCCTAAATGACCTATGTTAAGGTCAAAAACAACCTTTGAACAAATTATGAGCTTCCAGTGGTACTCAATGACGAAGATATTCCTGAAAAAGAATATTGCACTTTTCTGTCAGTGACCTTGAACTTGCCAGAAAGACCTTGGATCAAGGTCAAAACACATCCTTGGATCATAAGCAATCTCTGTATCAGGTAAAAGCTTCCAGTGATTGTATATTACAAAGTTATAGCATGGAAAAAAAAATAATATTTATCTGCCAGTGACCTTGAACTTGCCGGGAAAACCTTTGTTCAAGGTCAGGACAAACCCATGTCTAGCAATCTGTGAAAAAGTTTCCTGTGTTCCTCCACCCCTTATAAATTTATAATCCAGGCACGAATTTTGCCACCGGTGGATCATAAGCAATCTTTGTTCCAAGTATGAGCTTCCAAAATTATAGTACATACAGCAATCTTACACTTTTCTGTCAGTGACCTTGAACTTACAGGAATGACCTTGGATGAAGGTCGTGGCAAACCCTTTTGTCATAAGCAATTCCTGTATCAAGTATGAGCTTCCAGTGACTCTCTATTACAAACAAATGGGTCGGACAAAACTTTGCTATTTTTTTCCAGTGACCTTGAACTTGCCGGATTGATATTGGATCAAAACCATGACACACCCTCGGATCATTAGTAATTTTTGTACCAAGTATGACCTTCCAGTTTCTTCATAACAAAGTTATATCCTGGGCAAACTATTACAGACGGACAGCTAGGCAGACGGACAGTGTGATTCCAAAAGATCAAAACACCCCCACCCCAAACCCACACACTTCGTTTGGGAAGATAAATAAATTCCTATGTTAAATTATGAACACTCTTTCCGGCCCAAACCTTCTCCCCGGAATCAAGATTTGAAAAAAAAAAATGAATGTATGCTATGTTGGAAATTTTCTCATTCTAGTCCAGGGGTTCTTGAGAATACTATTTTCAAATGACCCCATGCGCGGATCTAGAGGGGGTTGGGGCAGTTAAATGTATATACTAAACCAAGTAAAAGTGACCATGGAACCCCCCAACCCCCCGCCCCTATAAAACGTGGACCCTTCCTCGAAAACGCGAAAGTTTTTACATCTGTTGGATCTGTAGCTCTATGGTTTGTCTGTCCAAATTTTCTCAACCAGATTGCTACAGTTCTGCACCTAAGAAACACTGGGTATCTATTCACTGGTCCAAATCTACCATATTATATGGGTACAGCCCACTAATTGTTTTCCCATAGGCGGCAATGTTAACGTTTCTTCACATAGCAATGTCCCTAATTTTCGTTCAGCATTGAGTGACCCCTCAAATCAAAGCACATCAAGTTGTCTTTCCTTGGTTAAAATCTCGAGGTGGCATGTCAGATTCGTTTTCCGGCAAAATGCGTCTGTCTGCGTTAACCTCTGAAAATGAAAGTGAAAGTAGGGGAATTCAAGACTTCTCACTGGTGTTATAATACATAAAATAATTCTGCTGATCTTCTTGATAAATTACATCTGCCAAGCTTTTTTGCAAGGGAACATACTCTTTATCAACAAGTATGAGGCTCAGTTTAATACATTATCACAGTTTTTTAAATTCAGGTCTGCAAATTAAGGAACTTGTAACTTTTTCTGCACTACTTTCTTCTCCTACCGATTCTAAAAATAATTAGAGGTATGTACCCAATATGAAAAAGTATTTTCTAGATTTTACAACATTTTACATTAAACGTCATACTACAGTCTACGTAGTGACATTATGCCAAATTTCAGGAAAATTCAATCATTAATAAAGATTTTACAGCATACACAGTTGTATATGCAAAATCCTTTTAAAATGCTTCCATCTAGCCACAACTGCACCCAAATTTGAAGTCATCGGTTAGCCTATTAATGTACTTATATCATTTTTATTCTCTTTCAGAACTTTAAATACATCAAGCAAAATCATAATCAAGCACTCATATGGGTCCATTTCTCTTATTTCAAAATATTAATGCATTTTTGCACAAAATTTTATCATCCCTCACCCTTGAATTCATTGTTTCTCCATGACTGACAAAAAAATTAAGTTTACAAATACCCCGAAAGTAGTAAAACTAGAAAGTACTCATTATTTCCTGTCCATTGATGTATCATTCAGGAAAATTGGTGTAGGAATAAAAAAGTTATAAGCCTTTACATTCTTGTATACATTCATCTGTTTCAAAGCAATTTTTACGCCAATGCAAGTTCACTCATCTATGACGTCATAATGACATCATAATAATGGATTGCTTATTACACATGTAGTGTTACTTTTCCCGTACTTTTAATTAAAGATGAAATTAGAACTAAAATATTCATTATAACTTTAAAATAATAAAAATACTTACATGAGCAGATCAAATAAATAGTCTACAGAAAATGTTTTGTTTCCATGGTAACCATTTTGTAATTTGTAGGAAAATGAATTGCTCATTCTGACTGACAAATATTAAAGAAATTTCAACTCTTATATTTTTTAATCTTAATATTTTATCATACACAACACTATGAATGTAATTGTTTTGAAATTCTTTTCAAAATACATTAGCTGTAAAATATATAGCATACATGTACATACTAGTTTGATGGTCACTTTCATAGCTCAAATATTCATTTAAAATCTACATTTTCTAAGCTTTAATTACACCTCCCTCCCCCCCCCCCCCCCCACACACACACACATACACACAAAGAAGCTTTAGAAAATTCAACTTACATATTAAAAGTACTGCGGCCATCATTTTACATGTGAAGACTCGAGATATGTTCAAATGAGTTTGTTTTTACTGACTGATAGTTTTAAACACCATCTGCATGAACCTCGAAGTTGTCCTGTATCACCATGAACCTAAAAAAAAAATCAATTTAAAAAATGGTACAATAATTTATCAGCACCTAAAGCATTCACAGACAGACAACAAACACACACAATCCTACCACATTACTTTTATGCCCATAATTTGATATCAATTGAAAATTATGAATTTGCACTGATTAGTCTCAGCATTGTTAAATTACATGTAAATTAATAATACAGGTAAAAAGCATGTTTACTGACAATAATTATACATTAGACAAATACATGTAATGCATTTAATAAAAAAAATTGTATTGTGCATGTTCACGCACACACTGCTTTAAAAGTTCTACACAACTGTAGCCTGACAGACTTCTTTGAAAGAATGCACATGTATGTCCTCGTTCATGTCATTCTATTTCATGAAAATAAATTTTTCATTTACAATTATTGTAATAAGGCATGGAAACCTTTTTTTTCTTTACATCTTTCATAAAATGACAAATGCATATCACCTACATACTGCAAGACTCTGCACTAGGTAGCACTAAGCAGTTTTGATAACTTACTTGCCACTATACTTTCACTTTGACCTTGAACTTCACTGAATACTGATTCCGACCTCATTTGTGAATTTTTGTGTATTGAAAATAAACAATAGTGGTGGATGTACTTTTAAAATAATTGTTCCTTTTCTAAATATCTATTAATGGCTCTGAATTAATAAATTGTATAAAATCGATACATTTAATTTACATGCTACATGTGTACACAATATGGGCGATATGTGCATAAGCTGTCTGTTCCGGGGGGGGGGGGGGGAGGGGGGGGGGGGGGAGGAAGTAACAAATCGATTTGTTTCAAAATATGTATAAATAAATTAAAATTTGCTTCTTTCATAAATTTAAACAATTGGAAATGATAGTAAACACCGAGTTCAAAACAAAGTAAAGATCTATGAGAATTTTCTCTTACCAATAGGCTCAACATATTGGGTACAGCCCACTAATTGTTTTCCCATAGGCGGCAATGTTAACGTTTCTTCACATAGCAATGTCCCTAATTTTCGTTCAGCATTGAGTGACCCCTCAAATCAAAGCACATCAAGTTGTCTTTCCTTGGTTAAAATCTCGAGGTGGCATGTCAGATTCGTTTTCCGGCAAAATGCGTCTGTCTGCGTTAACCTCTGAAAATGAAAGTGAAAGTAGGGGAATTCAAGACTTCTCACTGGTGTTATAATACATAAAATAATTCTGCTGATCTTCTTGATAAATTACATCTGCCAAGCTTTTTTGCAAGGGAACATACTCTTTATCAACAAGTATGAGGCTCAGTTTAATACATTATCACAGTTTTTTAAATTCAGGTCTGCAAATTAAGGAACTTGTAACTTTTTCTGCACTACTTTCTTCTCCTACCGATTCTAAAAATAATTAGAGGTATGTACCCAATATGAAAAAGTATTTTCTAGATTTTACAACATTTTACATTAAACGTCATACTACAGTCTACGTAGTGACATTATGCCAAATTTCAGGAAAATTCAATCATTAATAAAGATTTTACAGCATACACAGTTGTATATGCAAAATCCTTTTAAAATGCTTCCATCTAGCCACAACTGCACCCAAATTTGAAGTCATCGGTTAGCCTATTAATGTACTTATATCATTTTTATTCTCTTTCAGAACTTTAAATACATCAAGCAAAATCATAATCAAGCACTCATATGGGTCCATTTCTCTTATTTCAAAATATTAATGCATTTTTGCACAAAATTTTATCATCCCTCACCCTTGAATTCATTGTTTCTCCATGACTGACAAAAAAATTAAGTTTACAAATACCCCGAAAGTAGTAAAACTAGAAAGTACTCATTATTTCCTGTCCATTGATGTATCATTCAGGAAAATTGGTGTAGGAATAAAAAAGTTATAAGCCTTTACATTCTTGTATACATTCATCTGTTTCAAAGCAATTTTTACGCCAATGCAAGTTCACTCATCTATGACGTCATAATGACATCATAATAATGGATTGCTTATTACACATGTAGTGTTACTTTTCCCGTACTTTTAATTAAAGATGAAATTAGAACTAAAATATTCATTATAACTTTAAAATAATAAAAATACTTACATGAGCAGATCAAATAAATAGTCTACAGAAAATGTTTTGTTTCCATGGTAACCATTTTGTAATTTGTAGGAAAATGAATTGCTCATTCTGACTGACAAATATTAAAGAAATTTCAACTCTTATATTTTTTAATCTTAATATTTTATCATACACAACACTATGAATGTAATTGTTTTGAAATTCTTTTCAAAATACATTAGCTGTAAAATATATAGCATACATGTACATACTAGTTTGATGGTCACTTTCATAGCTCAAATATTCATTTAAAATCTACATTTTCTAAGCTTTAATTACACCTCCCTCCCCCCCCCCCCCCACACACACACACATACACACAAAGAAGCTTTAGAAAATTCAACTTACATATTAAAAGTACTGCGGCCATCATTTTACATGTGAAGACTCGAGATATGTTCAAATGAGTTTGTTTTTACTGACTGATAGTTTTAAACACCATCTGCATGAACCTCGAAGTTGTCCTGTATCACCATGAACCTAAAAAAAAAATCAATTTAAAAAATGGTACAATAATTTATCAGCACCTAAAGCATTCACAGACAGACAACAAACACACACAATCCTACCACATTACTTTTATGCCCATAATTTGATATCAATTGAAAATTATGAATTTGCACTGATTAGTCTCAGCATTGTTAAATTACATGTAAATTAATAATACAGGTAAAAAGCATGTTTACTGACAATAATTATACATTAGACAAATACATGTAATGCATTTAATAAAAAAAATTGTATTGTGCATGTTCACGCACACACTGCTTTAAAAGTTCTACACAACTGTAGCCTGACAGACTTCTTTGAAAGAATGCACATGTATGTCCTCGTTCATGTCATTCTATTTCATGAAAATAAATTTTTCATTTACAATTATTGTAATAAGGCATGGAAACCTTTTTTTTCTTTACATCTTTCATAAAATGACAAATGCATATCACCTACATACTGCAAGACTCTGCACTAGGTAGCACTAAGCAGTTTTGATAACTTACTTGCCACTATACTTTCACTTTGACCTTGAACTTCACTGAATACTGATTCCGACCTCATTTGTGAATTTTTGTGTATTGAAAATAAACAATAGTGGTGGATGTACTTTTAAAATAATTGTTCCTTTTCTAAATATCTATTAATGGCTCTGAATTAATAAATTGTATAAAATCGATACATTTAATTTACATGCTACATGTGTACACAATATGGGCGATATGTGCATAAGCTGTCTGTTCCGGGGGGGGGGGGGAGGGGGGGGGGGGGAGGAAGTAACAAATCGATTTGTTTCAAAATATGTATAAATAAATTAAAATTTGCTTCTTTCATAAATTTAAACAATTGGAAATGATAGTAAACACCGAGTTCAAAACAAAGTAAAGATCTATGAGAATTTTCTCTTACCAATAGGCTCAACATATTGGGTACAGCCCACTAATTGTTTTCCCATAGGCGGCAATGTTAACGTTTCTTCACATAGCAATGTCCCTAATTTTCGTTCAGCATTGAGTGACCCCTCAAATCAAAGCACATCAAGTTGTCTTTCCTTGGTTAAAATCTCGAGGTGGCATGTCAGATTCGTTTTCCGGCAAAATGCGTCTGTCTGCGTTAACCTCTGAAAATGAAAGTGAAAGTAGGGGAATTCAAGACTTCTCACTGGTGTTATAATACATAAAATAATTCTGCTGATCTTCTTGATAAATTACATCTGCCAAGCTTTTTTGCAAGGGAACATACTCTTTATCAACAAGTATGAGGCTCAGTTTAATACATTATCACAGTTTTTTAAATTCAGGTCTGCAAATTAAGGAACTTGTAACTTTTTCTGCACTACTTTCTTCTCCTACCGATTCTAAAAATAATTAGAGGTATGTACCCAATATGAAAAAGTATTTTCTAGATTTTACAACATTTTACATTAAACGTCATACTACAGTCTACGTAGTGACATTATGCCAAATTTCAGGAAAATTCAATCATTAATAAAGATTTTACAGCATACACAGTTGTATATGCAAAATCCTTTTAAAATGCTTCCATCTAGCCACAACTGCACCCAAATTTGAAGTCATCGGTTAGCCTATTAATGTACTTATATCATTTTTATTCTCTTTCAGAACTTTAAATACATCAAGCAAAATCATAATCAAGCACTCATATGGGTCCATTTCTCTTATTTCAAAATATTAATGCATTTTTGCACAAAATTTTATCATCCCTCACCCTTGAATTCATTGTTTCTCCATGACTGACAAAAAAATTAAGTTTACAAATACCCCGAAAGTAGTAAAACTAGAAAGTACTCATTATTTCCTGTCCATTGATGTATCATTCAGGAAAATTGGTGTAGGAATAAAAAAGTTATAAGCCTTTACATTCTTGTATACATTCATCTGTTTCAAAGCAATTTTTACGCCAATGCAAGTTCACTCATCTATGACGTCATAATGACATCATAATAATGGATTGCTTATTACACATGTAGTGTTACTTTTCCCGTACTTTTAATTAAAGATGAAATTAGAACTAAAATATTCATTATAACTTTAAAATAATAAAAATACTTACATGAGCAGATCAAATAAATAGTCTACAGAAAATGTTTTGTTTCCATGGTAACCATTTTGTAATTTGTAGGAAAATGAATTGCTCATTCTGACTGACAAATATTAAAGAAATTTCAACTCTTATATTTTTTAATCTTAATATTTTATCATACACAACACTATGAATGTAATTGTTTTGAAATTCTTTTCAAAATACATTAGCTGTAAAATATATAGCATACATGTACATACTAGTTTGATGGTCACTTTCATAGCTCAAATATTCATTTAAAATCTACATTTTCTAAGCTTTAATTACACCTCCCTCCCCCCCCCCCCCACACACACACACATACACACAAAGAAGCTTTAGAAAATTCAACTTACATATTAAAAGTACTGCGGCCATCATTTTACATGTGAAGACTCGAGATATGTTCAAATGAGTTTGTTTTTACTGACTGATAGTTTTAAACACCATCTGCATGAACCTCGAAGTTGTCCTGTATCACCATGAACCTAAAAAAAAAATCAATTTAAAAAATGGTACAATAATTTATCAGCACCTAAAGCATTCACAGACAGACAACAAACACACACAATCCTACCACATTACTTTTATGCCCATAATTTGATATCAATTGAAAATTATGAATTTGCACTGATTAGTCTCAGCATTGTTAAATTACATGTAAATTAATAATACAGGTAAAAAGCATGTTTACTGACAATAATTATACATTAGACAAATACATGTAATGCATTTAATAAAAAAAATTGTATTGTGCATGTTCACGCACACACTGCTTTAAAAGTTCTACACAACTGTAGCCTGACAGACTTCTTTGAAAGAATGCACATGTATGTCCTCGTTCATGTCATTCTATTTCATGAAAATAAATTTTTCATTTACAATTATTGTAATAAGGCATGGAAACCTTTTTTTTCTTTACATCTTTCATAAAATGACAAATGCATATCACCTACATACTGCAAGACTCTGCACTAGGTAGCACTAAGCAGTTTTGATAACTTACTTGCCACTATACTTTCACTTTGACCTTGAACTTCACTGAATACTGATTCCGACCTCATTTGTGAATTTTTGTGTATTGAAAATAAACAATAGTGGTGGATGTACTTTTAAAATAATTGTTCCTTTTCTAAATATCTATTAATGGCTCTGAATTAATAAATTGTATAAAATCGATACATTTAATTTACATGCTACATGTGTACACAATATGGGCGATATGTGCATAAGCTGTCTGTTCCGGGGGGGGGGGGAGGGGGGGGGGGGAGGAAGTAACAAATCGATTTGTTTCAAAATATGTATAAATAAATTAAAATTTGCTTCTTTCATAAATTTAAACAATTGGAAATGATAGTAAACACCGAGTTCAAAACAAAGTAAAGATCTATGAGAATTTTCTCTTACCAATAGGCTCAACATATTGGGTACAGCCCACTAATTGTTTTCCCATAGGCGGCAATGTTAACGTTTCTTCACATAGCAATGTCCCTAATTTTCGTTCAGCATTGAGTGACCCCTCAAATCAAAGCACATCAAGTTGTCTTTCCTTGGTTAAAATCTCGAGGTGGCATGTCAGATTCGTTTTCCGGCAAAATGCGTCTGTCTGCGTTAACCTCTGAAAATGAAAGTGAAAGTAGGGGAATTCAAGACTTCTCACTGGTGTTATAATACATAAAATAATTCTGCTGATCTTCTTGATAAATTACATCTGCCAAGCTTTTTTGCAAGGGAACATACTCTTTATCAACAAGTATGAGGCTCAGTTTAATACATTATCACAGTTTTTTAAATTCAGGTCTGCAAATTAAGGAACTTGTAACTTTTTCTGCACTACTTTCTTCTCCTACCGATTCTAAAAATAATTAGAGGTATGTACCCATATATAAAGTCTGCTATTGCAAGCAATAGCATTTTTAGCCCTGATGAGGCCCTAACTGACCCACATTAAGGCTACTGGAGTTATTCATTATGCATAAACCTGGTAAAGTATTTATCACACCAATTTAAATACTTAGTAGCAACAAGACAGTAATTTTTCTTAAATTATTTGTTCATTTTCTGGCTACAACTACAAATCTTGTCCATCAGTTTTCAATTTTATGTATAAACCACTTTGATAGAATGCAAGGGACAATCTTTTACAGTTTTAACAAATTGGCTAATCACTTACTGAGGTAAACGAAGTTTTAAAATTTGCATACCGGTATTTCTTTTGTTTCTATGGTAACAGTGGTCTTTTTGAAAATTTAAAATGTGGAAAGCACACCTAATGTTTATCATTTATGTGAATTTTCAATAAAATTCTCTAAGCCATCTCTAAGGCATCCTTGGAATAAATGATATGTTAATATGATGCAACATTGATCTTGATCTCATAGTTATCCACTCTCATCATGAGCACTGATCTCTAAATCCATGTATTAGCCTCTAGTCTAGTATTTCTTTTTAGCTCACCTGAGCTAAAAGCTCAAGTGAGCTCTTCTGATCACATTTTGTGTGAATTCACTTCAAGATTTATTTTATAATGCTTTAATTTACTTGACAAGACTCAACTATACAAAAAGAGAAATAAAATAAGAGATCTATGTGACTATATTTGTATTCTGTATCACAGTATGATTTGCAACATGTTTTTTTTGTCAATGAATAAATTTTATATTAAAACAGAATTAGCTTGGGTATTCTCAGACTTATTTCAGCTCTTAGCCCCTATCCAGTCCCAGGGCCGTCAATCTGTCTGAATTGGGTCCGATAATCGGACCCTTCCCAATTGGGATACCCCCCCCCCCCCAATTCCCAATTTACTTATCTAAAAATTCCCAATATAACAAAATGTACATTGTGTGTAAACAAAATATTAAATTGTTCTAGTTTAAAACCTAATTGAACTTACTCTGTTGTTTTTGTTTTTACCTTAAAACAATTAATTCATGTTTTTAAAATTTTTTTAAAAGCATTGTATAACAGTAAATTTCCTAATTTGACCCAAAATGTCGATAATTTTCCCAATCTAGTGGGACCCGGGTCCTGTCCCAAAAAGGACAGTGAGAACCCTGACTGTCTATTAAAGATCAAAGTAATTACTTAGTCACTTATAATTGGAAGCAGGGATCTGTACATATAATGTATGTGTTTCAGATGGGCCAAAGTAATGTGTTTTTGAGTAATTGAAGATGTACAGGAGCTACAGTGCAGGTGCGAATTTCAGACTGCCCTTTAATTAGGTAATCTGCTTTGGATCACACTACAATTATTCTAAGGAGGGAAAAGAAGGACAGCTCAAGTGAAATGGGGTGCTACCCGGGGACACAGGGTATAAGACACAGGGATATAAGAACACAAGTGTTTTATCCTAGAATTAAAATTAATTCAAATGAAATTGCAGCAAGTTTGACTGATGAGTGCATAAGGTGGAAACAATTGAGATAGGACTTCATCAGCTGTTTGTTATGTTTTTTTATGAACCTAACATATGAAACAGTTGCTGTCCATATTGCCAAAACATGATGATATTCAAGCAATATTGACCAAGTGCTCCATTAACAAGATCGGGATTTAAAAGGAATACGACATTTGACAGCCATTGTATGCTGGCATATCATTACGTAATCTCAGTCTTTGCGACGCTTAACGAAGTTTTATGAATGTCTTCAAACATTTTCTTGATAGAGAATCTTGGGAAAAAAGTAATCTCGATCCCGATCATAAAAATTGAAATCGCCAGCCCAGATTTTCTCAGTCGCGAAAAAGCGAGTTAATTTTAATTTCCAGTCGCAAAATAATTTTTTGGTCGCAAATGCAACCATTTTAGTCGCAACTTGGAGCACTGTGTACATTTTTTAACAATTTGTATAAACTTCAAAATCTCAAATAAAAATATCTAAAGGTTTAGACATTCATGAAAATCGCTAACAAATTATGGGATAGGTTGTAAAATTCCGCTGCTCTGTTTCTTTATATATGCTCTGCATCCAATGAGACTGTCATACACAATCTGTTAGTACAAGATACAGTGACTTTGTGATGACAAAGGCAGTATTATTATATAATAAGAGGTCCAAGGGCCTTATTAGTCACCTGAGACAGTAAAATACCCCACTATAAAGGATCCATAAAAGTATAAAATAAACTGATAGGTAATTGAAGATAATTGTTGCCCAAAAGAAAGAAAAACTAGTGGGTATTTTTTTTTAAACAAAACATGAGACCCATGGACCACATCGCTCACCTGAGCACTTAGACTAGGAGTTCAGTATTTAACCTACCCCTAAGGTGAGGGGATGGGGTGGGGCAAGATTTGAAGAAACTTGAATCTACACTACCTGAAGATGCTTCCATATAAATATAACCAATCATGGCTATGCAGTGTTTGTGAAGAAATTTTTAAAGATTTTCCCCATGTTTATTTAATGTAAAACTTCCATTTTGACACCACCCTACCCCCGAGGGCCATGATTTGAAGAAATTTGAAACTTCTCTACCTGGAAATGTTTCCACATAAGTTTCATCTTTCCTTGCCCAGTGGTTCTTGTAAAGAAGATTTTTAAAGAGTTTTCCTTTGGTTCCAATGTAAAACTTTGATCGTCCATTGTGGCCTACTCCCTGGGGGAGGGGGGGGGGCATGATTTGAACAAAATTGAATCTACACTACCTTCCATGCAAGTATCATCTGTCCTGGCTGAGTTGTTCTTGAGAAGATTTTTAAAACATGACATTAATTTTTCACTAATTTGTAATTATAATCTACCCTTGGAGGAAGGTGTGACCCTTCATTTGAATAAACTTGAATCTCCTTGATCCAAGGATACTTTGTGGCAAGTTTCGTTGAAATTGGCCCAGTGGTTCTTGAGAAGAAGTCGAAGATGTTAATGACGGACAGACAGACGGACAATATGTGATCAGAAAAGCTCACGTGAGCTTTCAGCTCAGGTGAGCTAAAAAAAAATACTGATAATAGAAAACAGATGAAAAACAATAAGGAAGTCATGACAGAAAATATATTAGAAATGGTAAAAACAGGAAAGTAAATATAGATCTACATTATAATTCATTGCAGAGTTTAAGACCTATTGATCCCTGATCATTCATTATGTTTCCCCTTCCAAGGAGAGACATTACTTTTGTAGATTTTCTTATTAAGGTCTTCCGTTGGAACGGAAGACCTTAATAATATTAAAAACAGACCTGAAATTCTGGAATTGAACACTTAAAGAAAATAAACTGCTACACCCAAGTTGAATGAGATCAGGAAATCAAGGCATCCTGTCAGTTTAGACAAAAAGACTGGTATGACCAATTCTGACCAAAAATACACAGCCCACAAAGAGATTTCCCTCCAAAACCTCGGTCAATGAAATCTCACTGATGGGTCACTTCATAGGTCACTGACCTCTCAAAGTTTATTACAATAAGGGGAACTTATATTTATTAATACTAAAGTAATTCCTAACTAATTTTATCTTCTAAAGTATAATATACCTTAAATAAATAATAAATTGCTGAAATATAAATATTAAGTTAAATTAAATAAATTTCCTGTAAATAATAATATCAAAATTATTTTGTAGATAATAATACTAAACATGTCAAATAAACACAAAATCCTAAAATTCTCAAAATATATCCTCTTTTCAAATATTTACACTTTACCACATACACAGTACATTTAAGGGAGATTAGAACTGAAGATTACAACTAAATTCTCATAATTATATTATCTTTTATTTATCCATTAATAGTAAATAATGACATTATTTAAAACTGACATTGTTTTATTTTACTTACCATAATTAATATCATTATCTGGTTATCGAGCATTTACGTCGGTCACCCTTCAAACCGGACTGTGTCCAAATAAAACCTTAGTGCGTAATCCTACGTTATAAACATTGGATGATATACACATTTCGATAGAATGCTATAAGAAGTCCTCCCCCCCCCCTTTCCCATTCATGAAGATACACGAGTTGTTTGCAAAAAAATGTAAATCAAACCTATTTTAAAACACTTCTAATAGACGGAGAAGTAAAATAGATTTTAAAATCATATTAAAATAGAGTAATAGTTTTACTTATCTTTACTTATCAAGTTACCCTCCCCCTCCCCAACCATCTCACTTTTATGAGAAGACGTCATCTGAAAGAAAATAAAGGGAAAAAATAAAAAAAAAAACACACAAAAAAACAGTCATATAATATCATTCATAATTAATCAGTATAAGAACTTACTTGTTGCAGTGCCGCTTCGACAGAGCGGGCACCTGCTGTCCAGCAGCAAACGAAAACATTGCATACAGCATACTAATTGTTTGCAGGTATAACATATACAACTGCAGAGTTTTGTTTCACAACACATTCTGCAGGTAAACGAAGAGAGCGGAAATCGCATATACATATATCCCCACTTCATACTTCCTTTTTTGCTGGTTCTTTGGGGATCCATAATAATACGTTGTTATTAATGTGTTGTTAGGTGTATAATGGTAGTTTTTATTTATTTTTTTTTTACATTAAAAGCGTTTTTGAATATGTATTTTTAGTTTGTTATTACTTCAATTATTTTTAAAACCAACGCTAATTCAAATACTACACAGGTAATCATTCTGAGATGTAACAAGAGGCCAAAGAGCCTTGAATCGCTCTTCTGGTAAACTGTACAACCTATCACTTCTATTTGAAGCCTCTAAGTATCCTGTATATTAAGATAAAGCCTTGAAATTCCAAAGGTAAGTCA